AACAGAACCTTTTTGTAAACTCGCAACTGCAAAAAAGATATCTTTAAGAAAATCTTATCAATACCTTTCAATTAATTAAGGTTTTTAGTTGAGATAAAAAAGTCAGTGTCACGTGCGGGATTCGAACCCACGATCTTCGGCGAGATATGCCGCTGCTCTACTACTTGAGCTATCGTGACCTCGGTTCAATTTATCTCAACTAAAAACCTTAATTAATTGAAAGATATTAATTGGTGAAGCGCACCACGAAAACTAGTGAATTTAATAAGTTAACATGAAGTATACCTTCACTAAAGCTCTCCGTGGCCATTTCATTTGTCGCCGAGAATCAAATAGATTACACCACATTTGAAAAATGGCGAAAAGGAGGGAAAATTCGAAAGGTGGGGTTGAGATGGGAAGTTAGTTGTCCGAGTGGATCGAGGTCACGTTAGCTCAAGTGTTAGAGCAGCGGCGTATCTAGCCGAAGAACGTGAGTTCGAATCCCGCTCATGACATTGACTTTTTTATCTCAACTAAAAACCTTAATTAATTGAAAGATATTAATTGGCCATGCGGACCACGAAAACTAATGAACTTAACATTAACTTAAGTTAGTCTTAACGTACCTGATGCATCAAGGCTGAATTCTCAGGAGGCGTTAGAAATTTCGGCAAAAACATCTTGTGTAGATCCTGCCTAGAAGAAGCAACTTCAGTGCATATAAACTGTGAATGCCTGACCTGGATTCAAGGCTGTGCAGGCTAATAAAAAGTCTAAACCTGGATAGTGAGCTTGGAAAAGCACAATAGTCATATTTTGGCGGATGCAGTGTCGTCTCATACTAACGATTTTAAAAAAAACTGAAAAACTTCTGTTCCGCAAATACAGAAAACGAAAAGCAACAGACAACATATTATAAACTGACTCTAGCCGCAGTATAGCAGAATATGGCGGGCATATTGAAAACAATACCACTAGCTATATACAGTAGGTCAAAATCTGTCTGTAGATATACCACATAATCAAGTGTGTTTATCGGCGCATCAATCTCTTAATCTCCTCTCAAAAAATTTTAGCAGTTTTTCAACCTGGCTGTAGTATGTGCATCCAAAACTGTCCCGCATAGCAAATTTCTGCCCTGCATACTGCATTAAATAAACTTTGGTAGACTTGGTATACTTCACTGCTTCACTTTGGAAGTACTGGACTGAATTTAACCCACGTCATCTTTGATTGAGCTACAATATAATTAAAAACAGTTATCGTAACAATTTATGCTAAATATGTAAACTCGAGATGAAAAGCTAATAATTTTCTTTGCCAAGGTTGTTGTCTTCAGCTGCGTTTCTGCGAAGCTTGTTTACAATATTTAAAAAACTCTACTTTTTTATCTATTATTCTCTACTTTCTCTAATTACCTCAAAAAACTAAAAAGTTTTGATAGTTGTTTTTTGATTTTTCTATTTGGTTTCCTTTAAATAAAGGACCATTGAAAGCTTTTGAGCATAAAGCAGGTCCTTCACTTACTGTCGTCTCTCTACCTGCCCAACCTACAATCTTTGCGTCATCGATTTAGCGTTACCGGAGAGTGTGCATGGGCTGAGTTAGGTTAGCAATGGTAAGGCTAGATAGTGTTAGGTTATAGTTATAGTGATATGATTAAGGATTACGGACGGTTTAGTGTAGGTCTTAGGGTTAAGGTTATTGACGTGTTTGTTATGGTAGGGTTAGGTTATTACATATCCAGGAGTCAATGTTCTTCCATTTTAGCTTTTGATATCGAGTCAATTCAATTGTCAACAGTTTAAGACCATTCTTGGGATGTCTTTTTTTCTTCATTTAGTATTTAGTTAGAAAAACTAAGATGTTGAATACATCAGTTCGAGGTAAAATTGGTATACTTCCAAGATGGTTCTTGATAGATTCCATGTCAGCTTCTATTTGGATGTGTCACGTGAATTTTGCACAAGTCATCTTTAACTTAAAGAACAACTGCTCGTCGGAGAGGCTCTTGCGAGTGAAGATCACGACCGGCAGATGGCCCTCAGAGAATCTGAGCAGGAGATGAGGGATCGTCCTCACCCGACTGAGGATTGGCCATACGCGGTTGACACATGGGCACCTGCTTTTGGGCCAAAGCCCGCGCAGGTGCCCCTTATGCAGAGAAAGGTTGCTCGATGTGTCCCACATAATAGAGGCGTGTCATGCCTTGGCTCCATACAGAGAGCGTGTAAGCATGCCGCCGGACTTAAGAAGAGTTCTCGAACACGGTAGCGAGTTTCAGAGTCCCCTGTTCCGCTTTTTANGAGCGGGATTCGAACCCACGATCTTCGGCTTGATACGCCGCTGCTCTACCACTTGAGCTATCGTGACCTCGATCCACTCGGACACCAACTTCCCATCTCAACCCCACCTTTCGAATTTTCCCTCCTTTTTTTGCCATTTTTCAAATAATGTATAAATAAATGTATATAAATAATGTATGTACAAATGATGTATAGGACAGGACCAAGGATACTACCTTGCGGTATACCGGCCTGTGTTTGTTTGATTTCCGAGAATTCATTGCAGCACCTTACTCTGAAACAGCGATCAGTTGGTAGAATTTCTTTAAAAGGTAATAAATAATGGGAGGGTAGGAAGCGCTTAAGTTTAAAAAGTATGCCTGGATGCCAGACCCTGTCGAAAGCCGGTGGTGTGTCTAGGATGGTGAGATGTAAAGTGGAGGTAGCGATCTGTGTTTCTTGGTTTTTGATACCAATCTGTGATTAATGTGCCACCTGGTTGTTTTATTACGAGTGTATCTAAAATTGGTATTTTTTTGTTTTTTTCGATTTCATGTGTAAATTGAAGGCGTAGGTGAAAGCTATTAAATGTATCTAATGTAGTTTGAATTTGATCTGTGGGAACTGCTGTCAATATATCATCTACGTATTTAGTGAGGAAGGGTAATGTGAAAGGAAGTAGTGGTATGACTGTATTTAGTAGATGTGTCATAATTATGTCTGCCAGTATTGGGCTTAGGTTGCTACCCATGGATATACCAAACAGTTGTTTGTAAAATTGATTATCGTATGTAAAATATCCGTTAACACAGCAGTGTCGGATCATTGTAACGAACGTGTTCTTTGATAGAATTGTGTGTGGTGTTATGTTGGGCCATTTATCTTTAATAATGTTCAGTGTCGTGTCTATTGGAATGTTGGTGAACAATGATGAAACATCTAGGGATATGAGAGAGTAGTGTGAGGGGATGTGGATATTATTAATTTTGCTAATGAAATGAAATGAATCATTTACATTATATGTGTTATCTGTGATGTTGTTGAGTATGTTGGTTAGGTATTTTGTCATGTTATATGTGGGGGAGTTTACAAATGAAGCCGACACCTTATACAAAAATGTCTTTTCTATACCGACTTCCTTCCCCACCCCTCCAAAATCCAACGTATATAAACATAAAACAGCAATATCGACAAATCTCTCAACACGACACGCAAGAATGGCACAATTACACAGAAAACAAACACTGAAGATGATCTCAATAAAGATCGAAACGTTGGCATGATAAAGAAAATGTTTTTCTGAAACCTACATCACACCAGACCGCATCTCACGATTTCTGAATAATTATCGATTAACGGTCACTAATAACCACACAAATGTAAACAATGTTTGTAAATCCTAGGCTCTGAAGATGATCTCAATAAAGATCGAAACGTTGGCACGATAAAGAAAACGTTTTTCTGAACCCTACCGCCAGACCTTTCTGATTTTATTGAAGCCAGACCGCATCTCACGATTTCGGAATAATTATGCTAAAGGTCCATCGCACTTCTATCGAGGGGAAATCTCCCAAAACTATTTTTTATCGGAGAAGTTTTCGATTACGGTCATTTTCAACCTTAAAATCCGTGGTATTTTTGCTTAGTTGGGTCAAGATTGTAAGGTAAAACTTATTTTAAGTCTGGCAGACAGAAATTATAGGAAACGGCCGAATTCCGTGTCCATCAGCTCTCAGTAAAGGGGATCTTCAATAGATAATTTTTTTGTCTTGGAGGTTTTGGATTTTCTACTTTATGGTCAAAATATGAAGCTAAAACATAAAAAGTTAGGCAGATCCAAAGTGCATGAGCAGGCAGACAGAAATTATAGGAAACGGCCGAATTTCGTGTCCATCAGCTTTCAGTAAAGGGGATCTTGACAAGATAATTTTTTTGTCTTGGGTGTTTTGGATTTTCAACATTATGGTCAAAATATGAAGCTAAAACTTAAAAAGTTAGGCAGATCCAAAGTGCTTGAGCAGGCGGTAGCGAGTTTCAGAGTCCCCTGTTCCGCTTTTTAGGGGAAATTGGGTTTTTTTATTGTATATAGTATGTCTTATGTGTTGTGTGTCTATATGTTTTGTCTGAGTGCATGTATTTATTAGCGTGAAAGGCGAGGGGTGAGGGTAAAATATAACGTCATCATCACCCCTCGAACGATGAGAGCGTAAGAGTGTGTGTTCGGGGTCGATGGCGGAATATTTATAAAAGTACCCCATTGACCCCAATCTAGTTTAGTTTAAGTGTAGGTCGGTGGAGGGAATATCAAGTACTCCACCGACCAAACGGAATGAGTGTACTGTATGGATGTATTTAAGTGTATGAATGTATATATTTGTATGTAGTGTTTGAACGGGTATAGAATATAAACTTAGTTGGGGGCTGAAATGACCTAGATGTCGGAAGCCCCAGCCAAAAAAAAAAAACAACTGCTATACGTATGCTAACTGTTGTAAGCTGTGTCATTCCAACAGGCTAACTACAACCTAGACGATTCAGATTATTTTATTAATCCCAGGGCTGACATTTTCCCTTTCAAATCAAAAATCCAAATATAGTTATTATTATACTGCGTGGAAAAATATGTAAGGCTAATAAGAAGATATCTAAAGTGGTGCAAAGTTTAATATGCGCGGGGAATGGTTCTAGCCTCGTTTATATGATAAAGAGACATTAGGCAGTTTGCCGGAGGCTTGTTTTTATCAGATAATGGGAGGCGGCACTCGAGGAAGTGTCAATTTCAAGTGTTCTCCCACGGTTTCGTTATCAGCCCACTCATCGGGCGGATTTTCCGAGCTCGATTCCAGTAGCTCGTCGACTCCTACGATGGACGGAAGGGACGTTTATGGCATCATCGAAGACGGCCTGGTCGGCGAGGTGGAAAGCCTCAGCCCCAGCCTCCAGTTGGATTTTCAGTTCGAAAGGCCAAGGCTGGTGAGGAGCTCGTCGAGGACGTCCAAAGGGTCCAGGACGTCGAGCATTAGGTACGTTGCAACTTGGAACTCGGGTTGGTCTAATATCCATTAGACAGGATTTGCTAAGATCCAACAAAAAACGTCAAAAACGTGTCTACAGACCAAAACAGCGAGGATAAACAGACCAGAATGATGGGAAACGATCAAACTACATGCCCACCACCCCCACCTCAATATTTTTGGCGCAATATTGGTGCGCAAGGTCGTAAAACAGGCCGGCTCATTTACACACCTAAACAAGCGACTTAAGCGACTGCCATTTTCCGACGTAAAACGTGTCTCATAAAATTTGAAAATAAATTTTTACTTCTGGCAGAAAAAAAAGAAAATATAGGCAAACAGAAATGATAGGAAACGACCAAATTTCATGTCCATCAGCTCTCAGTGATGGAATATCACATTTTTTTTTTACAGAGATGTTTTGGATAGTCAACATTTTCAGACTTGAAGCCTGTGTTATTTTTGTTAAGTCGAGCCCCTTATCAAAATTTGAAGGTCAAACTTATTTTAAGCCGTGCTGATCGAAACAGCAAGAAAAGACAGACAGAAAAAATCGGAAACGACTAAACTACAAGTCCATCACACTTCTATGAAGGAGAAATCTCACAAAACAATTTTTTGTCAGAGAAGTTTTGGATTATTGCCATTTTTCAGCTTTAGAGTCCGTGATATTTTTGTTTAGTTGGGCCCGATTATGGTCAAGATTGTAAGGTGAAACTTATTTTAAGTCGGAAAGACAGAAATGATTGGAAACGACCAAATTTCAAGTCCATCAGCTCTCAGTGAAGGGGATGTCACAGAATAATTTTTTTTTGACAGAGGTGTTTTGGATTGTCAACATTTTCAGAATTGAGGCCTGTTTATTTTTGTTAAGTCGAGCCCCTTATCATGATTAAAATTTGAAGGTCAAACTTATTTTAAGTCGTGCTGATCGAAACATCAATAAAATACAGACAGAAAATATAGGAAACGATTATGCTAAAGGTCCATCACACTTCTATCGAGGGGAAATCTCACAAAACTATTTTTTGCCAGAGAAATTTTGGATAATGGCCATTTTCAACCTCAAAATCCGTGTTAGTTTTCCTTAGTTGGGTCAAGATTGTAAGGTAAAACTTATTTTAAGTCGTGCTGATCGAAACAGCAAGAAAAGACAGACAGAAAGAATAGGAAACGATTATGCTAAAGTGTGGTGTTTATTAGTGCCCGTTAATCGATAATTATTCCGAATTCGTGAGATGCGGTCTGGTGTGATGTAGGTTTCAGAAAAACATTTTCTTTATCGTGCCAACGTTTCGATCTTTATTGAGATCATCTTCAGGGCCTGGGATTTACAAACATGTTTACATTTAACAAATACATGTAGGATGTGGAAAAAATGAATTTATACAATGCAAAATACATTTTTTTTATATTCAATCAAACTATTTCTACTCACTCAAAGCGTATTCGTTGGATTTTTAAGGGGTGGGGAAGGATGTCGGTATAGAAAAGACATTTTTGTATAAGGTGTCGGCTTCTTTGAGGTAAAAAGAGCTGACGAAGGGAAAAACGTTGGTAATGGTTCGGCCAGATTATCCTTTCAGGATTATATGGAAAGGGATAAATAGGAAGCTAAATTGTTGGAAACTTAGCCTATGTGAAAAAATATTTGATGTGTGGAATGTGAAGTTATATGTATGTTATCTCTATTGAATTTGATTAATGATATCTGCTGTGACTGAGTTTACATGTATCTGTTCTGTAATTTATGCTGTGTTTATCTCTGTTGATATAAACCATTTCTACGAAATTACATTTATGTTTGTTTTGTTCTGTGTGTAATATTTTTGGATTGTTGAAGTCGAAATTGTGTTGGTGTTCAAAATGGTGGGTAGCGAGTGCTGTAGGATTTTGCTTGGGTTTTTTGCAATCATAGATATGTTGCTTTACTCTCTTGTCCAGATATTGGGATGTAAGACGGATGTAAGTTGCCAGACAGTTTAAACAGTTGATCTTGTAGATTACGACAGATTTATTTGTTATTGGTGTGGGATCTTTAACATTGGAAAAAAGTGTTTGAATTGTTTTATAATTTTTGAAAGCTATTTTGAAGTTATCGGACGAGAAAAATTTGTTTAATTTATGTGATAGGCCTTGAATAAATGGCATGAGAATGTATGCTGGTTTGTTGGTATTTGATTTTTTTAAAATATTTATTTGTTACCTATACAGAATTGTATAATATACAAATATGTACACATGAATGATAAATCACACAGCACAACACTAGCACTAATGCCAGCACTGCACCGGTAGAACACATGCTTTGAGGAGCCAGCCATTGCTCAGTGTGTATGACTAGGTATCAAGGAGGTCCCGAGGCCATCGTCGGTTGAGGCGACGTGGTGGGTTGTCAGAGTGGGAATGAGTGGATAGGGCTCGAGCCGTATGGTTAGGATGGTTTGAAAGGTTGGTATGGAAGGTTTGGAATCTGGACTGGATTAGTTCGTTGGCAAAAGGAATGTTGAGGTCTTTGTGGATAGTGAGGTTAGTGACATAATAAAGTGCTTTGACAATTTGTCTAAGGATTTTCGATCAGAAAGACTGGATGCGCTGGATATTGGAAGGCTTGGCAGCGCCCCACAGTTCTACTCCGTATGTCCATATTGGTTTTAGCAAAGTCTTGTATAGTGTTAGTTTTGTCTTAATTGTCAAAGTCGATTTTGGTCTTATAAGTCTTCGTAGTAGACCAAGTCTTGTATTAAGTTGCTGTTTTTTAAGACTTGTGTAGGGATCCCACGTCAGTCCTCTGTCGACATTTGCCATTTGGGAGGATGCCCATTCTGTGGAGGTGGGATAGAAGACGGTGATGGTTAAATCTAAGCCTAAATATACAAGTGAAAAACTTTCTAGGTCGTCTCACGGTAGAAAACCTTGCTGCAGACGGATCGTTGGCTGTATGTTAAAATACCAGAGGCCCTTAGAATTACTTGCCTCTGTGTATTCCTTTTGCCATTTTTTCCTCAGAATCGTTTTGTTATGAAAGGTGATATCCGATACCGAAATCTCTTCAATACAACTTCCCGAAACTGCAACCTCTTTTGCCAGTAAATCGACCTGATTGTTATATTTATTATCACTGTGACCCTTCACCCAGATCAAGTGAATAATGACACGATTACTCTTAGTCAACATACTGTGTTTTATCTCTGTGGTGATGGGATCTTGAGGACAATCCGTACTTTTTACGGCTGATAAGACACTCCGACTATCCGACAAAATTATAACGTAGTTATAACGACAATATTATATGTCCATATTCGTCTTAGTAAAGACTTGTATAGTGTTAGTTTTGTCTTTATTGTCAATGTCGATTTCGGTCTTAAAAGTCTTCATAGTAGTCCAAGTCTTGTATTAAGTTGCTGTTTTTTAAGACTTGTGTGGTGATCCCACGTCAGTCTGCTGTCGACATGTCAGGTATTTGACTTGAGTGGAAATTGGTATCTCTTTGTTGTTGATGTACAATGGAGGGCAAGACTGCTTTTTCAGCGTAAAAGTACACTGAGTGCATTTTTCTACCTTCAGTCTTGTCCTCCATTTTTTACACCAATCTTCGATAAGCTCAAGGTGTTCTTGGATGTTGGAGGTAGCTTGGACAGGATTCGAGTTACAGGATTGCGGTGTTGTCCGCGTAGGTGGTGATAATAGTGTCAGGATGTGTTGGTAGGTCAGTAGTATAAATGATAATTAATTAAAGTTTTTAGTTGAGATAAAAAACGGTGGGATTCGAACCCACGATCTTCGGCTTGATACGCCGCTGCTNGTGTTTTGGATTTTCAACATTATGGTCAAAATATGAAGCTAAAACTTAAAAAGTTAGGCAGATCCAAAGTGCTTGAGCAGGCAGACAGAAATTATAGGAAACGACCGAATTTCGGGTCCATCAGTCCTCAGACAAGGGGGATTTTCACAAAATACGTTTTTAATAGAAATGATAAATGATGGAGTGAGTGAGGTGTTCAATCTTTTTTAAAAAGATAGTTCCTACTCACAGTAAGTTTTTTGCAACAATCCGGATTTCGAGCCTTTTAGCTCATCATCAGGTTGTAGAAGTCCTTCAACCTGATGATGAGCTAAAAGGCTCGAAATCCGGATCGTTGCAAAAAACTTGCTGTGAGTAGGAACTATCTTTAAAAAAAAAAAAAAAAGTTTTTGTCAGAAGAATTTTAGATTCTCTACGTTTTCAGACGTACGGCCGTATTTATTTATTTTATTATTTTTTATTTTGCTCCTTTTTGGTTAGATAGTTTTCCGCCTTGTCCAGGGCAAAAGATGGCCCTATTTTTGTATTCCTTTTATTTCAGATCCCATTATTGTCAAAATTCGAAGGTAAAATTTAATTTAAGTCGAAATAGCATCGGTTCGTAGACAGAAAGGTTAGGAAATGGCCAAACTACGGTTTTACTCTTAAGTTTCTGTGACATGTTGAAATACTTGGTGACTTTTATTCACAACAATTTAAAAAAAAAAATTGACTATGTAAAAATATAATAATCGAGTCAGTTGTGGGGGTCTTGGATATGTCGAGGGTTTTGGGTAATTATTATCCACAGGAAAAAAATTGGGCAATTATGTTAAACAAAATTTTGTTTTGCCAACGATTTTACATTTCTTTGCTTCCGAGACGAGTATAATGATAGCACCTCCATCTCCGACTCATCATCATCAAGAGTCTTTGGTTATCCTCAGCCTCGCAACATTTTTTTTTGTAGGAAAGAGGCTTTTATGTATATATTAAAAAATATATAAATGTAAAATGTTATGAAAATCTTCCTGGACTTGGCCATTTTTCAAGTTATACATCAGTCGAGGTTTAAGAACTTACATCAAAGGTACTTTGAATCCAGGGTCCATTATTAAAAAAAAGAAGCTTTTATTGGTACAATAAAACATTTCATTCATCTTTAATTATTATTCGGCTTAATATAATCTTGCATTTTATCGTTGAAAAGATATTTTCATTCTGA